AATTTAGTTCATCCGGTTTGGTAGCGTTGAGGCTAGAAATAAAACTGTCGTATGAATCTGGCAAACTTCCAAGTACTACGGTTGCGAATTTCTGTGGCGTTATTTCTTCTCTTAACTCTCGCAATTGTTCTGCCAAAGACCAATAGCGGCGTAGAATCGACGATTAAGTCGAACGATTTGTGTTATCGAAACACATTCAAACTGTTTTTGTAGGATTTCCCAAGCCGCGCGAGGATCTATTGTCGACGAAATATGGACTTGTAGATCTTTCTGCACGCTGAGCGCGATTAACGAATATGCTTTGTCGGAACGCAGACGATATGAATTTCTTACAGTTGTTGTCGCCGTGTCATCCGGGGCAACCTTTGTTCCTTCAACAAATCCCCATAGACCACGCTCCATCAACACAAGCTTTATATTATACTTCCACGACTGGTAATTTTTGCCATCGAGGTGCTCTATTTTTGTAATCTCGGCCATCTTAAACATACGGCTGACTCGCGCTTTAACTTCACAATTTATCCCTTATCGTGTCAATAATACACATACAAATTAGTACAGCTTCAACGACCGTTCTGGGCCCATAACCTGATAAAATAATCCGAAGCTTTAGTTTATAGAAAGAAGGTTTATTAAACAGTATTAACTTCACATAAAGCAGGCACATAGGAAAGTTATCAAGTTCAGTGTTGCCACTCACTATTTTACAAATTCCCAAGATTTTGAGCAAAAAGTCCCAAGATCCTTTAAAATATCCCAAGATCCCCCACAGTCGTTTCTGGGGGACCCCTTTGTCATGGGTACACGATTAGCCGCACTAATGAACGCATAATGTAAGGACTGGAATGAATTGATTTTTGTTTTAATTTTAATTTCATAAAAATCGATAGTTTATGTATATAAGTGTTGAAATGATCAAATATAGTTCGTGAAACGCAACAGTACATAAAGAAGTCAAATATGGTGATGGTAACATCGTTGAAACAGCCAAATCGACAACATGCTAAGTGCTAACCAGACCCTATCTCAACAGTCTCTTCGTTTACAATGTCATAAACATCAGTCACATTTTCTTCCTGTTCCTGACGCTGACAATGTTTCTTAAAGTACTCCCTCCGACAATGACCAAATTGTACGTCTTTTACAAGTTTCGTAGACGGCTCCCACGTGTAGCAATGCGCACCTTGTCGAGCAATAGCTTGTCTTGCAATTAATCTGTTCCTCAAAGTTGAACAATGTAGGCGGTTGGTTTGAGGAGTCTTTATCATGTTAACTTGGGAAAAAAATTCTCTCGACACAGGCAGATGAGTGAGGCAAAACAAGCAGGTTGCACATAAAATTTCCCAAAAGTTCAAACTTTTTTATTGCCGTTACCATCTTTAATAGCTCTGATCTCATCCCAAAACTGTGTTGGGGAATTAGTCATGCCTTTAAGAGAGTCTGTGGCATAGAACAATTGCCTCCACTGATCATCAAGTTCATCCAATTGATCTTCAGACACTAAAGACGGAAAATGGTGTGCTAATACCACCATCGAGTTTAATGACCGCCTGCTGGATAATGCCTCTGAAGGGTTGACTGCTGATAGCAAAGCTAGAACTCCATCACTTTTGAAAGAAAACCTCTTCTTTATTTGGTCACATAACTCAACGAGAAAGTTACGGCAATCGTTTCTGAAACGTTGTTCTTGGCTACCCGAAGACTGTTGGGTGCACAGGACTGTACATCTTCCTCCAAGATGAATATCGTTGAGAGGCTTGTATAGCTTTACGTCATTTGGATCAATCTCGTCCAACGGTGTTTCTCGTACGAATTTGTCGTGGATAAACATGGCCAAAATGCTTCTATACTCATCCGATATAGAACTGTACAGTGTGTGCAGCTTGAAATCTTGAGCCTGAAATTCAGCATTTAATCTGTCCACTTTTGACAATATGTAATTTAGGAATGCCATAATATGCTTGGTTCCATTCGTCGTCATGGTTTCATAGATCTTGACTGCCCCGTCTACACGATCACATGGAGACTCAGATTGAAAGAAAAGTTTTAATGCATCCCATTGCTCTAAAATTCTGGCAACAACTTGGCCTCGGGAGAGCCATCTCGTCTGTGAAAGCTTGAGAACTTTATGACGAGGCGCTTCAACAATATCTTGTATGAGACGGAACTGGTGTTGTCGCCGACTGCTACGGGAAAAATAACAGCAGACATCTTTCACAAATGCTTCCAACCATGAAGGTAGGCGACAACTTGCATAGTGTGCGCAGAGAGCAAAGGAGTGACAAATGCAACCAAAGACAAATACACCAGTACATCTTTTTTTAAAAGAGCCTGAAAACCTCCATTTTTGCCCATCATTGTTGAACAATTGTCGCCAGCAAAACCAACAACATTACTTAGTGGTATGGCTCGTTTTTGAAAAAAGTTTTTAACAGCCGCATACAATCCATCAGCAGTGCCGTTTTCTACTTCAAGGGCAGTCAATAAAGCATCAATCACTTTCCTTTCATGGTAAAATCTGACGACAACAGCAAGAATTTGGGAGACTGAAATATCTGTGGATTCGTCTACGATCAGAGAAAACTTGTTTTTCTGACAGATTGCTGATATTGACTCCACTTCCTCTCGTGCAATTCCTTATTGAACAACATATGATGCCTTTGTTCTTTTAACTGCATTTTTGAGCAATTTTGCTGTCGGGAAACATTTTTTTCATTAACTCGCTGAGATGATCAGCCTGAAGAAAAGACGTTCGGTGCTCAGCTAGAAAACCAGATAACAAAACTTCAGCTTTTGCTGTCATTTCGTCAACATCTGGCCCTGTTTGCTTTTAAAACTTGCTCACTTGCAAAGTATTTTGCTTGGCTTTATATGCATCAGTATGTTTCTTTGTTGCTTTATGTTTCATCAAAGCCGACTTGTTGGGACCGTTGAATGTATGTTCACACACTTTGCATCTCACTGTGAATTTATTTCCAGGATCTTTTGAAATCCAATCTGCTAATTCTGGATCTTTTAACCAAGCATCGTTGAACGATTGCTTGTTTTTATCTTCAGGTTTCGCTTTTTTTCTCGATGGACAATGATCATTCTTATCACTTGAGTTGCTTTCTTCGTCAAACATTTTGCTTCTGAAATGTGTATGCACTGTAGTGTTTTGAGCTCCCCACCCAAATGAAGCAAAACAAGTCAAGTTTACCTCAGGCTTGAATCCTAAGAAAAAGGCCGCCATTTTGTTTTTACAAAACCATACAGGAAAAAGTTTTTTGGATGTTCAATGTTCGCGTTCAATACATTGAGTTGAACAAGAACTGGAGGGAACAAGGGGCCTGGACCCAGTTGTCAAAAACATGGCGGTGATGGCAGATTTTGGTTGTCAAACTTCCACTTTAAAAATTATTTTTAATATTCACTCCCTCCTGATTTCTACTGTTCAATAGTAAAGACAACCAAGAAATGCAATACCAATTAATAATATTTTCGATCGAAAGAAATGCTTCAGCGTTTTATGGAATACACGTACATTAATTTAAAGAATATCCACGGTAAAAGAACTTATATTATGTTCAAATAAACATCAGATTCAGACGGCATCTTCTGTGGGAGGGTGTGAAGGTTGTCAAGCTTATTTATAAACACGTGTCACACTTATTTATAAATTCATAATACGAGATAATATTACCTATAAAATATTTAAACAAAATATCCCAAGATTTTACAATATTTCGAAAAAAACTCCCAAGATCCCAAGCTTGAGCAGAAAATCCCAAGATCTTGGGAGAAATCCCAAGGCGTGGCAACACTGATCAAGTTACAGATTACGGAACACGTGATTACATTATGACGTAACTATTATATTCTAACACGATCTACATTTACAAACATGTAAATATAACCATCTAGGAAGGTCTAGGAGACGTGTGTATGTTATAGGATTAATATGTACTTGTTGTGTCTTACGCAACAATAGATAAAGGAGTAATCGCTTCGAAGGATTTCGTGCTATGAACATTCATTTTGTATTGGAATTTTCATAGCGGATGCATGAATATCGACATCTGGCTCAGTTATATACAACTCAATATCTAGCTGAATCATACAATTATATAACTAGTAGAGTATGACTTCCTTTAATTCTGCCATAGTCAGACACGTCAAAAACAGTGGGTAATTCCAATGCAGTTTTCATAAGAGAAGCTCAAGAATCCTAAATTTCACGCAAACAGACCCAAACAGACGCTTCACATTTTACATATAGCTTATATATTACATACGTACTATGATATGTATGTGTGCTTGGATTCATTGTTATTGTAAGAAAGATCAGACTAATAATTATAAATGTACAATAGAAAAGAAAAACATGCCAATCATACGTCAGTAAAATATACATATCGTAGGCGAAGACATCTTTTTTATTCGGTCAAAAAAGATTTGTGAGTATATATTTCGAACGATCATTAAATGGCACCCAACGTGGGGCCGGTAAGTAGGTATACTACGGTTTCCTAGAACAGCTTCATTCGAAAACCAGAGAAATGTCGAAGGATAATATTGAACGACTTCGCGCCAAACGAGGCGGTTATCGTGGCGTGTGTACAAGGCTTGTAAAAGAAGCACTCGAGCTTCTGGATGCCACTGAAGTAGACATCGAACGATGTAATGTCTCGCTGAACAACTCGAGAGTAAGATGAAGATCTTAGACGAAATAAGCGACGAAATCATTGGGATATGCGATGTAACCGATATTGAACACGGAATTGAAGAAGCAGCCGCCGTCTCGGATAGAATTCTAAGCACTAGACGTAAAATCGAAGCAGCAAGAAAACCAGAGATTTGTCAAGAAACTATAAAAAAAAAGGCAAAGTCCTACTCCACAAGTCGAACAGATTCCTTTAGTGGTAGAAACAGCAAGCACGAGTAACACAACGATAAGCAACGATGAGAATAACACGAACACGAATGCGCTTAATACGAACACGAATGCGGTTAATACGAACATGATTGCGGTTAATACGAACACGAATGCGGTTAATACGAACACGAATACGGTTTATACGAACACGAATGCTATTGATACGATTAAGAATGAAGTGATTAATACGAATTCTACGATTTTGAATGCCCCTATCAGAACAACACCAGCGATAATGACGCCAAAGCTTGCCAAACTTCAATTGCCAGAATTCAGTGGAAAGATAACAGAATGGAACGCCTTTTGGGACTTATACAATGCTACGATTCACAGCAACGAGAGTATGTCTAAGGTAAACAAATTCAATTACCTATTCTCATTACTTGAGGGTAGTGCAGCACGTTCGATAAAGGGACTTACCTTAAAATTCGCAAATTATGACGCAGCAATTGCGATTCTGCAAGATAGATTTGGTCGAACCCAACAGGTCATTGCCGCACATATGGATCAAATCCTACAAATATCTGCATGTTCTGAAAATCGTACTGGGCAATTGAGATATATTTTCGATCAAATAAGTGTTCAAGTGCGAGGACTTGATTCGCTTGGGGTATCTGCAAACCAGTACGGCAGTCTGCTAATACCAATTATAATGTCCAAACTACCGAGTGAAGTAAGATTGCAGGTAGCACGAAAAGCTACTGGTGATGTTTGGAAAATTGACGAGTTGCTCAAAACCATAAAGTTTGAAGTTGAGGCACGTGAAATGAGCGAGTCATCGCGTTCGATTGAAAAACCTAAGAACAAAGATAAGCCCAACAAGCCATCGACAGCTGGAACATTTGTAGTGACAAAATATGATAAAGACGGTGCCTGTAGCTTCAAGGTTAAATGCGTATACTGCCAAGGATCCCATTATTCAGCATCTTGTGAAGAGGTAAAGGGAAGGATGCCCGACTTAAAATTCTAAGGGACTCCAACCGTTGCTTTATTAGTGTGAAAAAGGGACACCAAGCAAGCAAGTGTATCGTCACAAGAAAATGTCGACATTGTTCCGGGAGGCATCACCAATCTATTTGCAGCAATCCTGCTACCAACAGTCAGGGTGTCCAAAATGAGAAAGCAATTGATAACACCAGTCCACAGAAAGTATCAGAAGGTGTAAACTCTCCAACCACAACAGCTGTCACACGAACTGTCATGGGAAGTGTTCTTTTGCAGATGGCCAGAGCTCTCGTATCAAATGGATCAAAATCGGTTCCAGCACGAATTTTCTTTGACACTGGAAGCCAAAGTTCTTACATTCGAAGGTTACTTCAAGGCCGGTTAAGGTTAATTCAATTGGTAAGAAGACACTTCCTTACAAATTAAATACCTTTGGCCAAAGCAAGAGTAAACGAGAAAGCTGCGAAGTGTTCAAGGTGAGCATTGCAAACAAGAGTGGAGGTGAGGTAGTAGAGATTAAAGCAATCGCATTTCCAACAATATGTGCACCACTTCTACAAGTTCAAAAATTCATGCTAATTGTAATAATTCATGCTAATTGAAATTCATAATCTACAAGAAATACATCTGAAAAATCCTACAGTGAAACTTCAGCGATTGCTCAAGCTTTTAAAAGCTCTTTTAAGAGTGCAACGAAGATGATGGAAATGATTCCCTTGCTTCCGTACTCTGTGTTTCCACTTCCGCTTTCATTCGAACTAATCGATGGAGGAGCGGGCTGCAATTCAGAGGAAGTTGCAGGATATATGCTACAAGACCATTGAAGCTGATTTTTCAAAGTATTCAAAACTCTTAGAATGTTAGATGATTGCGACAATTTTCTGAATGGTTCATCAAAACTAAAAAACATTTCATGAAACAAAGATTAATGAATTTTAAAATAGGGGTGCAGAAAATTTATGAGCATGAAAGAGATAGTTGATGCTTATAATTTATAAACTACAAATAAACAATACATTGACATAAATTATTAAACTTACCAGGTGTGAACTAACTTAATGCAGTCATCCTTGTCAAATTTTACTAAAAGCTCCGTTTCATTCGCAGAACAGTAAATTGGCACACATTCAATTTCTGTCATTTGTGAAGCACAAATATCTGAAAAAATCTTTCTTCCATCACTGTATCGGGCATTACGAATAGCTTGGACTTTTACGGATGTCGTTTGGTAGTATTCAAAGAACTCCGGTGTCATCTGAAATAAAATCGAAAAAATATTTATGTGTAATAAATTTCCAGTTTTTAAAGTCAACTTATCAACTTTAAAAGTGCTATTGTGTCAGTTTATCAATCAATGCAATAGCTTGTGACAAAGTTGATTAATAAATGCTAAAACAATTCCATTGCCTATATTAATGACTGATTCTTTGCTAACTAGAGACCTACAGGATGCATAAAAAACTAAACAGATAGGAAAATTCGCCAAAGTTGTCAGCGTGCAAGATATGCAATTGTACTGACGACAAGGTTTGGCATGTGGCGTTGTATTAGAATATTAGTATCGTAAATTTACACTTGTTTATTTCTGATTGTGATACAAAATTAATCCCTCGTCTAAACCCTATATCTAAATCTTACAGAACAAGGATATGAATAATATTTTGCATTGGGGATTGATTCGTGTAATGTAGAGCACAAGATTCTTATATAAAAGAACATCTAGTATTTGTGGAATCACAGGCGTTTACATCTAATTAGTATACTTTCTCTGCCTTTCTTGTTTTATATGTTTTTGTGCTCAAATTTCTTATCTGATTTGAGTATTTGATGACCTGTGCATGGCCATACGGGACTTAATTGTATTTTAAAAATTATTGCAGCTTTTTCATTCGAGAGTCAAAAAATCTAACGATTATATGGATATAAATAGTGTATTTTTAATGCTCAAGTGTCCAGAAGAACAAAATGCAAAAAAATAATGCTGTTTACTCTGCAAACGTACTTCGCTAATGATATGCACCTCACTGTATCTTACTATTTAATATTGCATGCTAACTGCAGGGGGGTCTCGTGCACAACTCTGCACACCGTTCCTTGGCTAATAACTATGGTTATTGCATGACCTCATTATATTAACAACTATGAATGAAGACAGAATTTGGCTTGACCCATACCATGTCATTAAAAAGCAACTTTTAACCGCCATACATCAGATATTTCACCTAGTTTATAATATAGCAAATAAAATTTTTGGTGATAGGGGCACTGTAACAAATCAAAATGCTTTGTTTGCATTATATTTTATCAATCAAAATGCTTTGTTTGCAATATTGTGCAAAATATCTAATTAAATATTAAGGCTACGTGTGGTAATGTAAAATGCAATGATGTTTGATAAATATTTATGTTGTAAAATTTTTCTAAAAGTTATCGTCCTGTTTATGTCTTGTACGTGTTTTAGTGCGTTTTAAACGTTGTAGTTGCTGAAATTGTAATGCAATCTATAGAGGAACGGGCGCTCACGACTTACAAGCATGCACTACCTTTTTGGTTCCGCTACGTAGATGACACAATCACTGCACTACATGCCGTTAAATTAAATTTAAGACACATCGTTTAGGTTTCCCTCACCAAAAATTCGCTACGAGTCAATCGACAGAACGGAATTAAAAATTGTCATGAAAACAAATGCGATATTCGATATTCGATACAAATTAATCAAAATATAATAACCTAGCTCATTCATCAATAAACAGTAACGTATTTGAAGACGCACCTTGTACGTTGGCTGCGGACAAGCACCACCAACAGCTGCAGTATTGGCGACACATTGACCGTTTGAGCGTCTGCCCTTTTTCAAATTCCTGCAAAAGTTGTTTTTCTTTAAACTATTTACGACAGTGGAAGGACAACGAGAGTAAATGTTGTTACAAAGCCTGGTGACGTCACCATAATCTCGACTGTAGTCCTTCTCAGAACATTTTGGTGTCACTTGTGAGCATAAAGCTTCTTTTACAGCATTTGTACATTTAAGTGAAATGCCAAGTTGAGCATAGAGATTTACTCTATTTGAAATGATAGCATTTTCCTGTGGATAAAATTTGGCGATGTATGGATTTAATTTCCAGTTCAATCTACAAGGACTTGCACTTTGTATGGACACACATCCTTCTCTTTTTGAAAATACGTAAAGCTTTCCATCTGGAGCTTTTCGTTTTACGATGTTGCACAAGAAGACATCAATAAGCAGCGACAGTAAAAGAAAAAACAAAATTATTACTTTAAAAGAATGTGCCATTTTTTCTTAAACAATTCAGAAAAGTTACTCGCGTATGTTGATTGCAGGAATCCTAAACAGAACTAAACAATCCCAACCAAGCCAAAATCCTTTTTCTTGTCTACGTTCTATGGAAACTGATATTTGAAAGAATGTCATGTTTACCTCACTTTACGTCATACTTCAGCGCTTACAAAACAACGGCTTCAGCGCTTGCATACATCCTTGTCATACAAGCGCTTCAGCGCTTGCAAAAACAAGGCTTCTTTTATTTTGTCTAAAATTCCTTTATTTTATCTAAATATCTACAATATATTTAAAATGTTCCTTTTTGCACTTGCAAGTTTTGTCTTGACTAAGTATGTGTTTTAAGTTCCCGTACCGACTGTAAGTACTTCATAATTTAGACTTCCTTAGAAATGTTCTTTTCTTTATCTTGACTTCAAATATACACACACTTACATATATCTTAGTGAAAAGTATGCCGAAATACACAATGTTTAGACTCCTCTGTTCATATTTACATACACAAGTTTACATACACAAGCGTTCATACTCTCCACAGCATAATATTTGGCAAAACAATTGTTGCTGCTGGAAAATGGAAAATCGCTCATGTTTTTTCCACAAACCAGTACATTACAAATTATAAAAAAGACGAAATTGATATGATTCTAATATGATTATACAAATGTTTACGACTTGTATTATAGTCGCGAACAGATTATCAATAAAAGCAAATTAATCATCTTTATAATTAGGACAAGCAGTTCATTTTTATTTAAATGTAGAATCACATGCAGTTTTGCTGAGCATACACTAAGTTTTCACTGTTGCAGTCAAAAAATATCAACTGGAATCGAGAGTTATCTTATTCTCTTTCCTTGGAATTACTAAAACATTTAAAATGGACGACAAATTTCTTTATAACAAACATATTTCGGCATACTTTTCACTAAGATATACGTAAGTGCGTGTATATTTGAAGTCAAGATAAAGAAAAGGACATTTCTAAGGAAGTCTAAATTATGAAGTACTTACAGTCGGTACGGGAACTTAAAAAACATGCTTAGTCAAGACAAAACTTGCAAGTGCAAAAAGGAACATTTTAAATATATTGTAGATATTTAGATAAAATAAAGGAATTTTAGACAAAATAAAAGAAGCCTTGTTTTTGCAAGCGCTGAAGCGCTTTTATGACAAGGATGTATGCAAGCGCTGAAGCCGTTGTTTTGTAAGCGCTGAAGTATGACGTAAACTGACGTAAACATGACATTCTTTCAAATATCAGCTTCCATAGTAGACAAGAAAAAGGATTTTGGCTTGGTTGGGATTGTTTAGTTCTGTTTAGGATTCCTGCAATCAACATATGCGAGTAACTTTTCCTGACATATTTCGTTTTATCTGCAGTACACTCCTTCTGCAATTGATTCACTTTCAAAACCAAAACAAACAAAGAGAACGGTAGTCTTCAAAAACTCTTTACTTTGAATTACAATGGAATATGATTTTCCTTGAAATAATATAAACATCTACGGACGTTATCACCGTGAAAACAGCAATCGAAACACGCGTGCAGCGTAAAATAGTTGGCCGCCATATTGCAATTGAGTCACCCGATTCGATGCAGTCAACAAGTTGCTCTCGAACCAATTTGGCACTAATTGTTGAGCAAAAACAACTGTCTTGGAGCCAAATCGCCCCCTCCTGTCTGTTTTAACCCTCATTGTTAGTCAATATGGCAAGCAATATGAAACCTAAAACGATCTCATGGTGTTAAAATGGCCTCTATCTTTCTATTTTCGCAACAATTGTAGAGCAAAAATAACCTTCACGGTGCCAAAACGGCCCTGTTATCCGTTTTAGCTCTCAATGTTACCTAATATGGCTAGCAATTTGAAAAGCTAAAACGACCTCATGGTGCTAAATTTGCCCCTATCTCTATGTATAGTTTAAAGAAAAACAATTTTTGCAGGAATTTGAAAAAGGGCAGACGCTCAAACGGTCAATGTGTCGCCAATACTGCAGCTGTTGGTGGTACTTGTCCGCAGCTAACGTACAAGGTGCGTCTTTAAATACATAATTGATTATTGATGAATGAATTTCGTTCTGTCGATTGACTCAGAGCTAATTTTTGGTGAGGAAGACCTAAACTTTGTGTCTTAAAGATAATTTAACGGAATTTCGTCGTTAAGTTGTTTAGCTTGCTCATTTCTTTGCTTTCTGATCGAAAGTTTAGGGTGAACTGGTTCTGGGCGTAAGGTCAATATAACAATGAATCCAAGCACACATACATATCATAGTACGTATGTAATATATAAGCTATATGTGAAATGTGAAGCGTCTGTTTGCGTGTAAAGATCAAGCAGAAGTTATATACAATAAGCAAAGAATCGTCGGTAACATAATCCTGTAAAAATGTTGTTATTTTGAGAAACATTAACTAAAAACATTACGATTGAAAAGTTGACTTGTATTACAATGCCTGTTGTTATTTATTCAGTCAAGTGGAACTAAACATGAGCTCGATTCATCGATTATACAAACGAAATTCTTACTTTTCACAAACCTTTATAAAAAAAGTAGAATCTGAAAGTCAAGTTATTATTGAAATGCAGTCTGGCTGGCGAAGTTAGAACTCATATATATATAATGGAATCTGCTGTCTGGCGATAGTCCTATGACTAAAATCAATTTTTAAATCTTTAACGAGTTTAATATAAATGATATCAAATATACAATTTTATTTGAATTATGTAAATATTACTTACTTCATTTAGCCCTATTTACTTGATAGGCTACCACGTGTACGCATAGCTTGCCTATTTTTACATTTGTTGTATGAAATTTCGTATTCTTAAGCTTCACCCATGAAAACTGCATTGAAAATACCCGCTGTTTTTGACGTGTCTCACTATGGCAGAATTAGTTGAAGTTGTACTCTACTAGCTACACAATTGTATGATTCAGCTAGATATTGAGTTGTATATATTTGAGCCAAATGTCGATATTCATGCATCCGCTATGAAAATTCCAATAAAAATGAGTGTTCATTGCACGAAATCATTGCAAGCGATTACTCCTTTTATCAATTGTTGCGTAAGACACAACAAATACATATTAATCCTATAGCATACACACGTCTCCTAGAGCTACCTAGATGGTTATATTTCTTAAAAAATCTGTATGATCTAAAAGCTTCAACAAAATATTTTCAGCGGGTATTTGAGCTTCGCATAAACGTTGGTCATAAATCATTGAAGGATGTCCCAGCTACAATACCTATTTGTTTGAAGAATTAGTGATACAATGCTTATTTCGGTTTTATTATAGTATAAATTCATTGTATAAATAATTTTTAGTGAGATTTGAACAGCAAATCATCCGACTTCTGGTTTCCAGTAAAAATAACGGAAAACTATTTTCTATCACAACGATCGATTCGACAATCACCATCGTCCAAACATGTTTCCATTTAATCACTGAGCCTAAACTGTTTTTTCGATGATTGATCATTCGACGATTATATTCGCGATATAACCATGCTTTATCTAGCTACAAGTTTCGACCTTCTGTTCTAATTGCACTCATGCATACACTGCGCAATGTTGATTGACGGTCATAGTAAAATCAAAAGTTCTACAAATATTTGCCATGGTAAGGAACATTTTAAAGGCAAATAAAGTGCGCCATTGTTCATGTGTGTCTTTTCTTATGTGAATAAATTATAATATGCCGTCTTATGATTAATGAAAATATTGATTCAAACGGTATGATTGCACAAGTTAATATAGGAAGATATTTGCTGTTTGCTGTGTAGAAAAACTAACATATCATGTACGAATTTATATGACTGTGTGTTGAACTTCATGTATCCGCAATGAAAATGCTCGAAATGCAAATTTTCCAACACATATATTTATGAAACATCATTGCATTTTACATTAAGACACGTAGCCTTAATATTCAATTAGATATTTTGCACAGTATTGCAAACAAAGCGTTTTGATTGATAAAAAATATTGCAAACAAAGCATTTTGCTTTGTTACTGTGCCCTATCACCAAAAATTTTATTTGCTAAATTACAAACTAGGTGAAATGTCTGACGTATGGCGGTTGAAAGTTGCTTTTTGATGAACCTGGCTTGGTCAGGCCAATTCTGACGTCATCCATAGTAGTTACTATAATCAGGTCATGCAATAACCAAGGTTAATAGCCAAGGAACGGTGGGCAGAATTGGGCACAAAACCCCTCTGAAGTTAGCATGCAGTATTAAATAATAGGATACAGTGAGGTGTATATCATTAGCGAAGTACGTTTGCAGAGTAAACAACATTATTTTTTTGCCTTTTCCGCCGATTAATTGATGTGATCAGGTGCAGACTTGTGGTGGTTAGGTTCGTAAAGAGCAGGTATAACGATGAATCTGAACTCCAAGGCACTCAGCCTAGCTCACCTGCTTCAGCAACCATCCACTCACATGAGTATGACATCATAATGTGACGTCGGGTATTAATATATCTTGTATTGAGGAATTCGTTGCATGGCGTTACAAAAAAATATCGTTCCAGACTTTTCGAACGACGGACAAGGTCTATAAAGAGGAGCACATTTAAACAGATATAAATATATAGAACGATTTGACAAACTTAAAACCTTTTTTCCATGATCTGTTAGAAATAACACTTGAATTAAATATAGCAAATAACAATTTTTGCGAAAGTGATACTTTAAACACTTGCCAATATACATTGCAAAGAAAGCATTTTGTTCTTCTGGACACTTGAGCATTTAAAACACACTATTTATATCCATATGATCGTTAGATTTTTTGACTCTCAAATGAAAAAGAAGCAATAATTTTTGAAATACACTTAAGTCCCGTATGGCCATACACAAGTCATCAAATACTCAAATCAGATAATCAATTTGAGCACAAAAACATATAAAACAAGAAAGGCAGAGAAAGCGTACTAATTAGATGTAAATGTCTGTGATTCCACAAATACTAGATGTTTTTTTATATAAGAATCTT